AACACTTCCCAAGCTATGGATACAATACTCATCTAATGCACTTTAAATGACATCGTAGTAACAATGATCACCAAATAAGAATCACAAAAAAACTGCAGCAGTCGAATTTAGAAAAAAGTTGGAGGGTGGTGTACAAGACTCGACTGCATTGTTGACGTAGGACTACGAAATTTTTGTTCGATTTTTTAGTCTGAAACGGAATAAATTTAACCCACCATACAAATAGAACATAATTTATTTCCCCTTACAAATTATTTGATTTTTGTATCATTTTGATGTAGTGATGAATTGAATGGGTGAATCATGGATTACCCTATATTAATTCTATTCTAACTAATTTCTGAATTGATCTTTGTTGGTGCGTTGGAATAAAGAAGGTGCCAAGCGTCATCGGAAGTTCTTCGTGATAACATCCAGGGCCTGCCATCCGTCTGGCTCGACGGCCATGAATGTCGTATACGCTCTGAAGCGACAGGGACGCACTTTTACGGTTTCGGAGGTTAAAACTTATCACCAACGTAAAAAACGGCCCTTTTCAGGGCCATCAAATTAGAATAGAATTTATATAGAGTATCCCCTGCTTCCAGGTTTGGTTACAAGATTACAACTCTGGAGAGCAGCGGCACCCGTGGTGTAGTAGTAAGCGTCCCAGCTGGCCTGGGTTCAATCCCAGAAGGCGCTGCAGGGAAGTTCAGAGGCATAACATCTCTGATCACGCCTTCCTTCGGGGGAAGGGAAGTAAAGCCGTTCGTTCCCGGTTCATGAGTTGATGGGTCGATAGGTAGAGTCCAGGTCTGGGTAGCATTGGTGCTCAGCACGGAAAACAAATCCAAGGAAAAAAAAACGGAGAGCATTCTGTGTGGTCGTTGGGGGCGTGTGGTTCAAAATGTTCCGAAATTGCATCCTCCCTATTCGTACACGCCCGAAGATCGAAGGCGAATGTCACTTCGACTTGTTTCATCTAGCAACCATTCTCTGATGACTGTGTTTGGGAAGCAGCACATGCATGTACGTAATTGGTGGATTTGTTAGTTATTTCGATGATTTTGGACAATGCTTGACATTTACCAATTTTTCAATAGTTTAAATTTAAAAATCAACAGTCAAAAGCATTGTTATTGATGCGTAGAAATGTTTCTGATCGATTGGTATTAAAATAATTGAAATTAGTACATGGAGAGGTAAGTTATTAACGTTCAAAATCTTTCATAATTTCATTTTTCGCTTTTCATAAATTGTACCCCCATCTTCCCGAAAGACGTAGTCCTACGTCAAAAAAGTATACATAAGAACAAACACGCTACACATCTGAATGCAACACACATTATGGCTTGATGCAATGATGGCTTTCTATCAACTTTGTTCTGACATGAAACGCTTGACGAGCACACTAAGGCAATATTTTGACTGTTTAAGAAAAGACATATTTTTTAACCTCCTAACAAGATAAATATAAATCGGGCCAATTACAGGAGCAGTAGAACCATATACTTGCAGACTTACCCTATCCCACCAATGCTGGTATGAAGATGGTGTCACTGACTGTAGTGATGCTATTTTAGGCTTTGTTTACTTGAACCACCTTTATCAAGTCTATACCATTGTGAGTGGCAGTGCATATCTGCTTACAATTTCAAACCCGAAAGGTGATGAAAAGAATCCAATCTCTTCGTTCTTCTTTCTGCACTACGGTCTAACGAAACGTGGCGATGCAGCTTCCGGCCCATCCCGGTCATCGCCGCCGCCATCAAGAAGAGGTGGCGATCCATCGTTCCGCAGGTCGTTAATGATACATTATGAAGATAAGCGGTCGTGTCGTCCTTCGTTTCGGGCACCGTTGCCAGGCAAATCCACCCGGTCCAGGTGAAATATTTTACCACGAATATTGGAATCTTGTTCGCTTTCCTACTGACAACGTCTATATGGGAGAATATCTCATCTAAGCACTGTTCAGGAAAGGAACATTTTAGCTCCTCCATAGGCGCTTGAACCTTACGGAGCACGGTGGTGGCGTGAACCGTAGAGGTAATCGCTTCTCCTTTACATCACCATCATGGTACATGGGTAAGTGGGATACAGTGGCCGTTCGGTTTTGACAACACTTGATTTTGTAAAAACAATTGTAAACCTCATTATCTGGCTTAACAGTTATTGGGACAATCTAAGAATAGAGTTCAAGATTTTAAACTGCTCAGCACAATCTAATTGAAGACATGGCAGACCTGTTGCCAAAATAGAACCACCATCATAAGCACGGTACCTTTGGAAAGTGCGATGGAGTGGGCGCGCGAGCGTTCGGCAAAGACTTTGCGTCTTGTCAGCTGCGGAGCTCATCGTGTCGTCGTCGTCGTCGTCGTCGCCATCCTCTTGTCTGTCGTCAAGAGAAGAGCTTTAATATTAATAAAACATGCATTATCTACTTCGCTGGTTCGAGCACGTGTGTAAATCGGTGGGAGTTCTTTGGTAGGAAAATGGAAGTTTTTGGCTCACGATGGTTAACGTTGGCTAGTGTCAGCAGGTGAGTCCCGCTTGGTATAAAAACTTGTCCTGATTTTTGCAACCTGAATGAACTTTTTTTGTGTTGATCGGATGCTCCTATGCATTTATTTCATTTATGATCACTATTCTTCGGCGCTCAGTGACCAGTGTCAGTTTTTATCATTAACCATCACACGTAAAGAGTAGTGCTTCAACCCACTGTAGATGAAATGCGTTTGAAATGATCAAATGAGTTCATTATACATCAACGAATACGCGTGTGTTGATATTCACCCAAAATTCCAACCCAAAATTGTCAAAATCAGAATCGATTCTCTTCTTTTTTTCTTCTATCCTTTATTTAACGTCGGTCTCTGTTCCGCAATCTAGTGCCAATCACCGACGGACATCGATTACCATCCATTGATGGCAATCGAATGTGCAGGAAGGCAGCTTCCACACCTGCGTAGGATATCGCACCCATTCAACACACATGGGCCGGGACCAACGGCTTTACTTCCCTTCCGAAGGAAGACGTGACCATAGATTTTTATGCCTCAGAAAAATCCCACCGACCTCAGCTGGGATTGAACCCAGACCCATTGGGGTTGTAGTTAGAAAGCAGTCACGCCTACCACTATACCATCGGCACCGGCAGAATCGATTCTCAAAAGTGAAATAATTAAATTTTGGGTCAAATGATTATGTTGAATATTGTCGACCCCAGAGCCTCAAAGCTCGATATTATCATCAATTCAGCATGATCTAATCTAATCTAATCTAATACAAACGCAGCCAGTACGAGAAAGCATCCTGGAAAATGATTGGGTTAGATGAGGTGTAATCATTTTTCTTGTCTAATTGATGTTTACAGCATATCTGAGATATGATATAAACATCAATACGGCCAGGCCTACTGCGTTGTATTTGCCGCAAAGATGAATATTTCTTGAATCTACAGGGGTGGAAGGATGCGTGGACATACCGTAGCAAACACTCCGAGTTACTATGTGTAGTTGTATGTAATGTGTAAATATTTGTACAATATTAAAGAATCATACAATAGTGCAATGGAAGGATCTTACCAAATTTTCTCCTATGTTGGTAATGATTCTTTTGCGCTTAAAAGTTTCGTTGGATGCATCCGCTCCTTGTTTATCATGGGGTTTGGGATGCAGTTCCTCGTCATTGCTCGTGGTTATGTTTAGTGATGATTTAGGAGATCATTTTTTCACTAGAAACTACTACTGCGAAAACAAAGAGAAACAGAAACAAAACAAAAACAACAATCGCTTCTATAAATACAAAAAAAAAGTCTTCAGAGCAAGAAAACCAATGAGACAGGCAAACATGGTTTTTAATTTCTACTTTCATATAAATATTTAGAATTAATTTTATGCTGAGTTGACAGACTCTTCGCTATCTGATACATAGAGTTTATGTACTTCATTCCTTAGCTCAATTTTGTTACAAAGTAGTCCTTCAAAGTCTGTAGTGGTTATTGATCGATAATTTTGTCTCTTATCTTTACATATACTGTATTCCCTTTCCTACAACCAACTTCAAATGTATTGAAGTGGAAGAATAAAAATCAATTAAATAATCGGTGAAGTTTTTTTTTTTTTTTTTTTTTTTTCTTTATTAAAGAGATTTTTAGCCATAGACTAGTTCATCTCTTAAATCGGTGAATTGATTCGGACGCGTTTTTTTTTTTACTCGTTCTTCAGATCATTATTTCCCGGGTTTTCCGTATTTTCTCCGGCTCTGGCCACTCCATAAATTGGTCCTTCAAACCGGATCGGGCCGTAGGTGATCAAAAAGGTGCGTTTATCCAATTTTCGTCACTGTGCCGCGATTCGCGAAAGTGAGTACCAGAGTGAGGTTGGAATATCACCTCTGAAAAGAACATTCCCGGTGAAAGTGGATGATACTGAAACTTACCATCGTCTAGTTTACCCACCATGGACAAGCTACTACGCGAGAGGAGATCACTCGAAACACGTTTATACCTGTGAAGAGCTAAACTCTACCGGGAAATCACCCATTGCAGGATAACAATGGTACACTCGGATACACGTCTTACCTGCTCAACACTTTCACACTCGAATGATAGCTTGCGTCAGTGGCGTAACAAGCCGAAATGGCGCCCATGGCAAGTACTGAGATCGCGCCCCCCCCCCCCCCCATGAAAATGTACTGAATCATTGAAGTATCAACCGATTATCTTTAACCTATAAAAATAAGTATAACCACAAAATAAATCACATTGTATATTTTCAATCATGTATATTAACAATCATGTACATTAGAAGAAACTGACGTCTGCGTCCGTTCTAAACGTGTATCTTCCTCGCCTTCGCTGCGGCAAAAGCATCGATAATGGAGTTAAAATCAATCTTCTCGACCTCTTCCCGTTCAACACTCAGCAAAGCAAGGTCGCTCAACCGATCCTGTCCCATGGAGGCTCGAAGATAGTTTAAAATCAATTTTAATTTGCTGAAAGATCTTTCGCAGCTCGCAATCTAAACAGCAATCGTTAATAAGATCTGAATGGCGATTCGAAGATTCGGGAACACGCTCTCATCTCCGTATTGCACGATGAACAGCAGAACATCTTCAGGTCGTGTTAGTTTAACGTTCGTCCTCGTACTGATCATCATTCTGAAGTCCAAAATCTCCTCGTACTGCTCACCATCAACATCACGGTTGTAAGTCTGGCCGAAGTTCTCGCACTTTGTCTTCAAGATGTCCCTGCTGATACCGGTACATAATCCCTCAACGTCGAGAAGAAAGCCAAACTTCGCATCAGTGTCGTGCAAACGAGTGAATCTGTCGTCCATCTCGGTGTGCAGGCGGTCGATCGTCTCCTTCATAGCTCGTTCGGTTTCCTGCGTTGTTTTCAATCCAGCATCTTTAGATGTTTCGCCAGCCATTGTCTTCTTTCGTCTTGGTCGCCTTTCCGTCTCAACCTCCCACTCTTGACAGAGATTAAGCCCAACCTCCAGAGCTTTACTCACTAGTCTTTCCCTCTCGTTGTAGAAATGATCTCGTAGGCTTTCCAGGTCTAACGCGGCATCGTGGAAGTTCATCGCCGGATCTTGCAACCTTTTCTGGACTCGGTCGATCGGGAGAAGCACGTTGGTCCAAAATCCAAGTAGGGTCAAAAATTCAGGAGTCAACATCCGGTTGTAGAGCTGCCTCGCTTCGCTCCGTGTGTCTGTGGTCTCCGTGGCACCATCAATCATGGCTTGAAGGACTTGGAGTATCTCGTCGAGGTGGTTGTTGATGGGCTTCACCGCTTCCACCCTTGCGCTCCATCTGGTTGTTGACTCCGATTTCACAACTTTAGGAACAGCAATCTTGAGTTTTTCCCAGCGCTGAGTCGAGGAGGAAAAGAATACGTAGAGAGCTTGAATGGTCCCAAAAAAAGTCACCATCATAACGTCCTGTTTGGCTGCGTTGACACCAATCAAGTTGAGTGAGTGATTGTCGCAGTTCACGAAAACTGCCAGGTGATTCTTCTCGATGATCCTTTGTTGAACACCACTTTTGTGTCCCGCCATCACAGCAGCGTTGTCGTAGCACTGCGACCGGCAATCCTGGAGGTCCATACCGTCTTTCTCCAACTGGCTCAAAATGGTCCCAACTAAGCTCTCAGCGTCTTTCAGGTTGATCTGGATGAATCCTAGAAAAGATTCTGCAACACGTACCGTTTTCTTTGTAAAATCCACGTCCACATATCTAACTACTTCTGAAACTTGCTCACGGTGTGCTTGATCAGGGGTCGGATCAAACATGATACCAAAATATTTCGCTTGACGGATCGTTTCGAGCATATTTTCGCGAACAGTAGACGCCATCAAATGGATAAACTCGTTCTGTGTGGCTGCCGAGAGGTAAGAAGTCGATCCGGGACGATTTTTGGCATTTTTGAGGTGCGCTTGCATGACAGGGTCGAAGGCGGCGAGAAGTTTCAGGAGTCCAAGAAAATTCCCGACGTTAGAGGCGTCGTCCGACTGGAGGGATTCTCGGTGTCCTCGCAGAGCCAGGTTTTGCGTCGCAAGAAACTTGATGCAGTGAATAAGTCGTTCCAGGATGTCTCGCCATTTTTGTTTCTCCACATCAATCTCTGACTGCAGCTCCACATCGATCAATTCTTTGTTCTCGGCCAAAGTCCGTTCCATTTGTTTCCATTGAGTGAAGCATTCACGATGATTCTTCGACATTTCATGAACAGCCATGCGCTCAGGTGCTTTCCAATGATTGAATCAGCATTCCTGCTCCAAACTCGACTGAGGGTTTGATCGAGAAAAGTGCAAACAGCAGATGCAGAAAGCTGATTGCTTTGCTGGAGAATAAACTAGCCAGGACCGAGTCACCTTCTCCCCGTTCGCCAGTGTCATTTTGAACCAGGATTTGTTCATCGACCGGTTGTTTGTTGGTGCAAACGGCCCCTCGTCGTTCTGGAAATAGGTGGAACCCAACTGGACTATTTCCACTCTCAGAGAATCAGCAACCTTGACTTTTCCGGCAGCACCGTGGAATTCCAGAAGTCCAATGTCGTGCCTATGGATGACATTTGGAATGACGGGTTCCCTGGGATCTTGAGCAGCGTCGCCAGCATCTCCAACCGTGGAACTGGCAGTGTCCGGTTCAGCGTGATCTTCAGTGGTTTCGGTGGATCTGTCTGATGTTTGGTCTTCCGGCTCCATCTCTGATGCATTAGAGTTCAAAGCAGCCAAACTTGACGACGCTGAAAGGGAATCTGTAGGAGCGGGCTTTCCGAAAAAACTCTTCAGAAGCTGACTTGACTTTTTGGCTTCCTCTGTCTCCAACTTGCGCCTTTTCCGCCCCTCCGCACCAGACTCCTTTTTCTTTACAAGCGTACGTTTCATCGCCGTTTTCTATACGCTCTATAATATGCATATGTTTTTGATTAGACGAATAATTTTCAAACCTGACATTCACGAACTACGACCCTTATTATTCTTACCTCACATTTAACTAAGTTTTAGGTTGACTAAGAGTTATTGGCGTTCTTGTCGAGTGCAGATGACATGACAATCTGAAGCAAAAGTAACAGCGTTAGTGATACAACGAGGATATTACGGAAGTAGAATTTTTATTGAGGACTGTTGGACGTTACTGTACACAACGTTTTAAAACGTTAGATAAGATAAGTTTAAAAACGTTTTCAAAACGTTCAAACCATTTAAATACAATGTGAACAAATCAAAATGTTTGATTTTCAAGTTCATAAAACTTTTTCAACACGTTTATGTAAAACATTCTCATATCGTTATTGACTATCGTTCGACAGATAATTTTTAAACGTAGTTGAAACGATTTAAAAACGTCAGTGAGACATTCTTCTCACATATATGGTATTTCATTATCATGATAATACCCAAACATAAATACTTACTTGCAGACATTAATTAACAAACATACTTCATGATCAATTGCTTACCTCGGATCCTAAAAATCTCTTTAATAAAGAATTAAAAAAAAAAAAAAGCTTACCTCGGAGCTGAAAAGCACGACGACGAAAATATGCATTGGTAATGCTTCTGAACAATCTGGGCGCAAAAGTAAACAGAGTTTCTCTGCTGTTTTTATTGAAGCGACATCTACATGAGAGGTCGGTATGGTAGAAGCCTTTCGCTCACTGCTTACCCCCAGTTACGACTGCTGGTATCAACCGCGATGCGGGAGATTTCAAACCGCTTATAAGAATAGGATCACAAATCTCGTTAGCTTACGCGCTTGCAGCGCATTGCGGACTGTCAATTTACAGTCATAATTATCAGCATGTTAATATTTATGAGAACAGTCGATGGAATACTGAAAAAATGAGTTAGTTTTTTTCGCGATAATTTTTTATGACATTACAAACTAAATATCCGCCGATCAGCGATCCCGGCGAGGGAGTAATCCGCCCAAACAAACCTTTCCGCAACGTCGGGCGCCGCTCATTCGCATCGGGCGCACTTTTCGTTTTCCGTGGGCGCGCTACGCGCCCAAATGTCATTCGCCGCGGCGCCCCCTCGACTGCGAAAATTTCTAGATATCATTAGAGTGGGTTTTTTTGTGATCGCTTTTTGCGCCCAAAATGGTTTTGTACCCAAAAAATTTCCGCAGCCAAGGGGGCGCCGCGGCGCCCCCTCGACTGCGGCGCCCAGGGAAAGTGCCCTGTCTGCCCTACCCTAGTTACGCCACTGGCTTGCGTCCAAACCATCTCTGTTGAATGGTGCCAAGTCGATACAGAGGGTTCACGCTATAGAGTGGCGAGCAGGTATGTTGACTATACCCACACAATACCGAGCATCGCAAAATATCCAGAAGCTTCAGAAGAGGGATGATATCGATGACGTTGACATCGAAACCGAGCTGGATAACATTCGAGAAATCTGGGCGGCTTATCTCTCGGTTCACAAGCGAATGGTGGATAGTTGCAAGGATGACGAGATGGATGAAATCCTGAAACATCAGGCCGAATTCGAGGGTAATTTCGCTCCCCTGAAAGGTACCCTGTTGAAGCTCCGAAAAAGGTTCGATTTTTCTTCGACCCGCAATGAGGCAGCATCACAAGATGGCGGCGCTGCCATTCAACAACAGCAACAGGCAGAATTCATCCGACTGATCTCCAGCAGCTTCAATACGGCGTCCAACTCAAGCAGCAGTTCAGCGGTTGTTGCTCAAAATGCTTCTCCACACACCGATGTCAAGCTCCCTCGGATGAATCTGCCTACGTTTGGAGGCAACATCCTCGAATGGCCTTCTTTTTTTGACCTGTTCGACAGTGCGGTACACAAGACCGTGGCTGTACAGGATAGTCAGAAGCTCTACTTCCTTAAGACCAACCTTGTCGAAGAAGCCGCCGCTCTGATACTTCTCTGACCTTCGAAGAAGACGCCAACTATGCTCCCGCTCTAGCCAAGCTGAAGGCTAGGTACAACAAGCCGCTCGAAATCGCTGCACAGCACATTCATCGGTTCTTTAATCAACAATCCATGACGTCACCATCAGCTGCCGGTCTGCGCTCCCTACATGATGTGTCCGATGAAGTTATTCGAGCACTGAAGGCCATGAATCAGGATGGAAGGGATATATGGTTGCTGTACATTCTAGCCGAAAAACTGGATCCTGAAAGTAAGCAGTTGTGGTGTCAAAAAAGGTCGGAGCTCAAAGACGAACAAGTTACCTTGGAGAGGTTCCTGAAGTTTATCGATGCCCAAAGCTGCGCACTTAAATCTGTTCAGCCGTTTCGTCAAAAGAAACCGATGTTCATCACGCTTTTTCCGAGCAAACATTCTACCAGGGGACCAACAGCTCTCTACTCCACTAATGTGCGTTTTTTGTGCAAAATCACCGCATCAACTGTATAAGTAAGTTTCTTCATGTCAGCTCCGATGAACGACTCCATTTTATCCGTAGGCAGAACCTCTGTGAGAACTGCCTGAAGCAACATTCCGGTGAACCTTGCCAGTCCGGCAATTGTCGGAAATGTAATCTTCCTCACCACACTCGTCTGCACGAAGCACTCCAATCGACTGCCGCTTCAACGACAGGCAACAGTACAGCGGCCACAACCAATATCTATGGTTCGTCTTCGATGTCGCAAACATTGATTGCACCGCTCTGTCGAGCAACCGATTTCATGGACACCAACGTTCTACTCCTGACCGCTACAATCAACGTCTTTGACAAGATTGGACGTCCACACGTAAGAAATTGTGTCTCTCCACTGCAGATGTGGACTTCGAATTCGGTGGAATTGCTAATACTTCTGGGCACGCGAATAAAGGAGCAGTGATTACATTCGCTTCACGTTGCTCAGACTATCGGAATGTAGTGCCGTGCATTATTCTTGAGTGACTTACTTCTGAGCTCCCGTTAAAGCCGATCAACATCACGGATTGGCCAATTCCAGGGTCGATTCAGTTGGCTGATCCCTAATTTCACCATCCCGGAAAGGTCAGCATCCTTCTCGGGAACAAACTCTTCTTCCAGCTGCTCGAGCCTGGAAGAATCAACCTTGGTTTGGACGACTGCCTTCCCGTACTCCAGAATACTAAATTAGGATGGGTGATTTCTGGTGGCTACAAAGACTGCGACAATCAACCTCATACTAACGCTCCTTCATGCTTACTGACGGCTCCCAATGATCCTCTCTCCGATCAGCTCCGCAAGCTCTGGGAACTGGAGGAATACACTAATAAATCTCCGCACTTCAACGATGAAGAGATCCGATGCGAAGAGCATTTCACGAAGCACACGATTCGTAATAGTACCGGAAAATTCATCGTTCGGCTTCCATACTTAGACAGCCCTACTTCTCTCGGCAAATCGAGGGAAATTGCAGAGAAAAGACTGCTACACCTCGAGCGCAAATTGGAAAGGAACTCTAATTTGAAACAACAGTACCATTCTTTTATGCGAGAGTACATCGACCTTGGGCACATGAGGCTCGCCACTACACCAGTATCGGACAATTGTGTTTTCCTTCCACACCATTGCGTCGTAAAGGAGGATAGTTCGACGACAAAGTGCCGGGTGGTCTTCGACGCCTCAGCTAAATCAAGCAGTGGCAAGTCCCTTAACGACATCCTCTTGGCGGGCCCTGTGTTACACGATTCTCTGGTCAACATCCTGTTCGAGCGAAATCTCTGGACGTTCCCCTTCCAACTAAAAGGTGATACGGTCAAAATTTGGACAAGGGAAAACGCGTGTAAATCGGTGAAATCGTTTATTTAAAAAATCAAATTAAATTTCTTTTTCAAGTTCAATTAGTATAAAATTCAGGAAAAAATATTCAGTTAGGCTTCCGCTTTTCCAAATCCGAATTGCCGGGCCTTACGCTTGACCCCTGCCATCAGATTTTGTACAGCCACCTTGTCCACCTTCTTCGCCGCAGAAAGCCAGTTTGCCTTGAACTGCTGCTCGCCCTTAGTAGTTTTTTTGGTCTTCTTTAGGTTCCGCTTGACAATAGCCCAGTATTTCTCAATTGGGCGGAGCTCTGGCGTGTTGGGAGGGTTCTTGTCCTTGGGAACCACCTGCACGTTGTTGGCGGCGTACCACTCCATGGCCTTTTTACCGTAATGGCAAGATGCCAAATCCGGCCAAAACAGTACGGAACAACCGTGTTTCTTCAGGAAAGGCAGCAGACGTTTATTCAAACACT